TCTTTTCATGGTTAAGTTGGGTTTCACTTTCTGTGTGCAGAATCCCTTGAAGAATCCTTTGTAGGGGGGTGGCTTTGTGGTCACATATTGTTTTAGTTTCTGCTTATCATGGAAGACTTTTATTGCTCCATCTATTTTGAATGATAGTTTTGCTGGGTAGAGTATCCTGAGGTTGAAGTTATTTTCATTCAGTGCCCGGAAGATCTCACCCCACGCTCTTCTTGCTTTTAATGTTTCTGTTGAGAAGTCTGCTGTGATTTTGATGGGTTTACCTTTGTATGTTACTTGTTTTTTCTCTCTTACAGCCTTCAATATTCTTTCCTTAGTTTCTGAACTTGTTGTTTTAATGATGATATGTCGTGGAGTAGTTCTATTTTGATCTGGTCTGTTTGGTGTCCTGGAGGCCTCTTGCATCTGTATGGGAATATCTTTCTCTAGATTTGGGAAATTTTCTGTTATTATTTTGTTAAATATATTATGCATTCCCTTTGCTTGCACCTCTTCTCCTTCTTCGATGCCCATGATTCTCAAGTTTGGTCTTTTGATGGAGTCGGTGAATTCTTGCATTTTCTTTTCACAGGTCTTGATTTGTTTAATTAATAGTTCTTCGGTTTTTCCTTTAATTCCCATTTCATCTTCAACTTATGAGATTCTGTCTTCTGTTTGTTCTATTCTGATGGATTGGCCTTCCGTTTTGTTTTGCAATTCTGTTTTGTTCTTTTTTCTGAGGTTTTCCGTATCCTTGCTGTTTTCCTCTTTAATGTTGTCTATTTTTGTCCTGAGTTCATTTATCTGTTTATTAATTGTGTTCTCTCTTTCACTTTGGTGTTTATACAGTGCTTCTATGGTTTCCTTTATTTCTTCTTTTGCTTTTTCAAATTCTCTATTTTTGTTGTCTTGGAATTTCTTGAGTGTCTCCTGTACATTTTGGTTGCCCCTATCCAGTATCAACTCTATAAAATTCTCAATGAGTACTTGTAGTATGTCTTCTTTTAAATTATTCTTGTGGGCTTCATTGGGACCTTTGGCATAGTTTATCTTCATTTTGTTGGAGTCTGGATCTGAGTACCTGTTTTCTTCATTCCCCTCTAGCTCCTGTACTAATTTTTTGCTGTGGGGAAACTGGTTTTCCTGTTTTTTCTGTCTTCCTGTCATTGTCTTTGGTGTTGTTACTGTCCCTGTATTGTGTGCAATTAAGTATTTTCTAGCTTGTAATAATAACAATGGTAATATTTAGAATGGAAGGGTGAGCTGAGATGGAAAGCAAGAAGTTAAAGAAATGGGAAAAACAAATATACAGACTGGAAGGAGAAAACAGAACAAGGTATCAGACAAGAAGATTGCAAAGGTATAAACAGGGAGCTTTAGTGTACTAATCGACAGTAAGCTGAACAGACATTAGAGAAACAGAGAGAGGATTGAAAATCAAAAATAAAAAAAATAAAAGTAAGAATAAAAATAAAAAATAAGTAAATGAAAGAAAAATCTATTTGTAAAAATGTATTAAAATAAAATGAAAAAATAGGAAATTTTAAAAAAACCAAAAAACCAAAAAACCTCCAAGTTCAAATGCAGTGAAGTCTCAGTCTCCAATCCTGGAGATGGTGCCTCAGATGTTGTTCTGTAGTTGTCTCATCAAAGGGGACGTATAAAGTAGAACAAAACTACACACACCTGCACAAAAAAAACCCCACCTAGTGTCACAAGTTCAAATGCCATACAGTTTCAGTAAGTTTTTCAGCTTGCAGGTGTAATTCGGTTGTTCTCTCATCAAAGGTAGGGAGAAAAAGAGAAAAAAAAAAAAGAGTCTGGAGACAGTTCTGAGAATGGAATCTGCAGCTGTGGCTTGCCTGCCTGCTGCTGTCAGTCTGCTGTTGCTGGAGGCGTTATTTATGCAGATCTCTGGGGTGAGCTTAGTACTTACCTGGCCCTGCAGGCTTTGTTTACTCAGAGTTCTCCTGTATGCAAGCCTCTGCTACAGGCTTTCCCCTTTCCAAGCACTGGGAAAGGTGATACTGCACCCGCATTGTCAGGCCTGCATGTTTATTTATAGTTCATGTGGAAGGTGGGTCTTCCCCTCTCTCCTGTGCAGTTGTCCTCCCACCTCCGCTTTCACAAGCTTTCCTGCTCCTGATTACTGGGTGGTGCTGCTGCTCCTGCCAGCCGCCATGTTTGTTTACCGTTCATGTGGGAAGTGGGTCTTCCCTCCTCTCCTGTGGAGTTTTCCTCCCTCCACCACTCTCACAAGCTTCCCTGCTCCTGGTTGCTGGCGGCCCGGGGTCCCTCCTTGTTTCTCCATTTAATGTGAAGTGGAGATTCTCTGCGCCGGCTACAGGTGTGGAAGGTCAAAGTTATGCCTTTTCTCAGTGATTATGCCTGCAAAATGTGTCTCCATTGTCTCTCCAAGATTTCACTACAGGAGGCTCGCTTTCTGCTTCCTCCCTCTAGCCTCCATCTTGGAATCCCTACACACAAAATTTTAAACAAGTGTGGTTGTAGTTTGAAAAACATTTGCATTCTGATTTTTCACTAATATTTGTAAAAATTATATGTGCCTTTCCATAATAATTGTAAAACATTTCACTTTGAAGGCAAGAAATATATCATATCTTCTTTTCCAAAATTCAAGTATTTTTCATGTCCTGTGCTTTAGCAATCATTCATATATTCATTTAACAAATACTTAGGAAACATTTACACTATATTCTGAGCCCTTTAATAAAAATACTCGTTTCTCTGTGGGCTTTTTCTTGCAGGGTTTTCTATATTACACCTTCTTTTCCACCCTTGGGAAGGTATCAGTACTGAGCCTTTGGAGCCTGGTGGAGAGAAATTTCCCTTCTCAATTCTTTGTCCAAATTGCATATTCTTTCTAGTTCAAGAATTATCCTCCTGGCTAAGAAATAGCATTGGCAGGCCCTGCAGAGATACAGCTTCCTCTCTTTGGAATTATGCTACAGGTCATCATCTTGTAGGCTCATTTGATTTACAGAAGGAGATGCACATATTGCTCCAGATTAATGGATTCCAAGTAGATCACTTGTGCTGAGAATGAAAATGGCACTAAATTGGCCCCGTGGAACAGTGGTTAAATGATTGGGCTCTCAAGTTTGACAAACTGATTCAAATTCTTGCTGAGCAAAGTTAAAAAGTCATTCAATCCATGGTCTTAGTTTCTTCATCCTTCCTACTTTAATTTCATTGATGGGATTAAATGAGATGAAGTGGGTCAGACATTGAGTACTGTACCTGCACAAAGGAAGAACTTGGTTTATGTGAGCTGTGTTGTTGATTGAAAGAGATTAAGCTGAGATTATAGATATCTGATACAAGTGTCATTTACTACAATTTAATAACTATCAGGAAACAATACAAATACAAACTGAAAACCAAACCCAAAGCACTCTCTCAATGAGCGTGCACTGATGGACATAGAAGAATTTCAGTTAATGTTTTATAAGTTCCTGTGTTTGTAAAATACATTTCACTATGAAATCCCTTGATAATGCCAGTATTGGTTGGCTATAGAGAACACCATACTGAAGGCTTACTGTGATTTTGGAGATATGTTATGATGAATATGACTTGACTAGTGGTATATTTCTATCCATGTAGCAATAAATGATTTTATAACAGGGTTCTAGTGCATGTTTTGGCCAACATCACTGATCTAAAGGATGGGATTTTAAAGAACAACTGTGAGAGTTGGAGGTGGGTGTGGCTCAAGTGATAGAGTACCTGCCTAGCAAGTATAAGGTGTTGAGTTTAAACCCCAGTGCTGCCAAAACAACAATAGAAAGAAAAAATGTGGCTCTGAAAAACATGATTTCAAATTCATTGTACCTTGGCACTTTAGAAGAGCTCTTAGAGAGCATCTGGTTCTACTCTCTTATTTTATAGATGAAATCATTGGGTGCTCAAGATGCTAAGTGAGTTGATAAAACTGCAATTAGTGGATTCTAGAACCTAGTGTATTCTGAATCCTAATCTAGTACTATTCTTACACTCCAGGAAGTCTTCATATAAACGACATGAAGCTACCTGTCTAAAACGCTCTCACCTCACCTGAGTACAGGATGAACATATGACTCTCCAGGTCTCCAGAGAGCCCATAAGCTCATTAGGGTCACAGAGTGACTCGGCCATGCCTTAATATGTCCACAAAAATTGAATATTTTCATATTTATAAAAATTTATCCCTGGCATGCTCCATCTATCTTCCCAGAAGCCTTGTTTGCATATCCAGATTTTTTACCCAGCAAAGTGCCATGCATATATACATATATTAAATATTTTATATTTAATATAATAAAGTATATTGAATAATGTATAATAATTAATTAAATAATGTATAATATATACATTGATTTTTTTCCCTCATCTCTCTGTTTGGGGTTCAATGAGGTCTAACATTCAATTGAGCCACCCCCAAAACCACCCGTATCCACATCTGAACTCACCACATTTCTACCAGGTCTTAGAACACTTGGATATTCCACATATATAAATGAAACATAAGGAAGCAAACCTTTAATTAATACTCTTTTTGTTTTTAAATATACAACTTAACACATTCTTTCTTACTTTCTGCTATTTAATGAGTAAACCCTTTGCCCTTTTTTATGTTCTGGCACATATACAGTTGTATTTCCTCCAAGATGAGTGTCAGAAGGTATGCATATACCATCAGTTACCTACTTCTGAGTTTCAATATTGTTTCTTTTTTAATGTTTGAATATATAACACTTGTATCATAGAATCTAAAATTAATTTTGCTCTTTATTGCCCTGAAGATTAATTTAGTTAATATTATAAAGGATTTAGAATAGTTTTTGCTACATAGGACTATGTTAAATCAATAATTATTTGAGAATCTTAGGATATCCTTTGAAGTAGTGTCATCATTTATATATTCTGCCTACTTTAGGTTCAAGATATTGATTACTGTTAGTTTGATAAAATCTGAAGAACTTATATGACTTTCTTCTTTTCAGACATCAATTTTCACCCCAGCCTTTGGATCAGAAACTAAGGTCAGAATAAATAGTAACATGAAAACTGAAGAAGTAATAAAACAACTTCTCCAAAAATTTAAGGTAATCTTTTTTTTACTAAACTGTGCTGTAAAAATCTTGAAATATTTTAACTGTAGAGACATAAATGAACTCTTCTGAAAAAAAATGAAGACTTAAATTTAAGTTATATGTACAGTTCAGAAGGACTCTTTCCTCCAGAAAATTTGTGTTTGGTTGACTTAGAAAACATCAAATAAAAACAAATAATTATGTTTGTTATTTTTTTCCATTGATAGATTGAGAACAGTCCTCAGGATTTTGCTCTTTACATTATTTTTGCATCAGGAGGTAAGAAAACTTGATCACTCTTTGTATCCAACTCCAGTGTGTTACAGTTTTTTGTGTATGGGGAAAAGAGCATTTTACTTTATTCTGTGAAAAAAGGAAAAAAGGCAGGGAGGGAAGGAAAGGTAGGAAAAAGGGAAAGAGTTTTTGTTGTTGGTAGAGATGGTTGGTTCTGGGGACGAAACCAAGGACCTTGTGCATGCAAATCACACACTCTACTCCTGAGCTCCAGCCTCGGCCCTATAGGAAATGATTTTAGAGTATTATTTATATCCCACAATATCAGAGAAAAATAACCTAAGAATGAAGTATCCTCATCAAAGAGTTCATAATGCTTTTGGCCAAGCATTAAGTTATCTTAATGGAGATCTGAACCCTCAGGAATCCATGGAGGGGTCTCGAGGAGCTGTTGGGTACTCATGTCTGTTACCTCTGTACTTCTTTGGTCTGGCTTTCCCTTCTTACACCAGCTTTTGTGGGAGTTATCACTACATAACAGTTTCTCTCTGGCTTTGTTATTGCCACTTTCTTACTCAGCACAGAGTCTAAGGCATTGGAGGAGTGTTATCTCTTCCACAGTAGAGAACTGGGTTCAGAACTTGGTGAACAATCTTGAAATATGCATTTTCAGTAATAATTCCAGATGATAATGAAGCAAAAAGCTCTGTGATATCAAGAATGGATCAAACTGAGGCTATAAAACCAAGTTAACATTAGACCTAGAGGTCAGAAGAGGATTCTGGTGGGTTAAGAAGTGCAGCTTAACCATCAGAGTTCCCTGTTGGTTCAGAAAGGGCCGAGGAGTTAAAACAGTAAGCAGGCTCTGTGGAAACAGGAAAGGATAATGTCACTCTAATTGTGGGAAAGCCAAGTTTTTTCATTCTAGACCCCCTCTTGACTTTTTTACCTGGGATAAATCCAGGGATGAGAACAGTTTTGACTATTCTTATTTGAGGAAGGAAGGAAGAGGAGGGAAGAATGAGGAAAGAAGATGAATGTAAAAACACTGTTTTTTATTTCGTGCTTCATTTTGATAAAAATGAAATCCTAGATGTGAAACAACATCGACAGGAAGCTAAAAGTACTTTTGAGGTGTGGGTATTTATTATAACTTTTAGAAATTTAAAGTTCTGGGAATATACCAATTTTTCTTTCTCTATTTCATTTTCATGGCTGAATGGATGAAGCACACAGATAAATGAAATAATAAAAATATTGAACTCAAAAGCATTTTCTATCTATGTTAAGGACTAGCCACAAATTCAATGTGAGAAAAGAGAGAAAGGAAAAATTTAAGATAATTACAAGGTTTTGTTCTAAACAACTGGAAAGATGGAATTATATTAACTGAGCTTGGAAATAAATATTTGTTATATGAGTGACTGAATAAATGAAAGAAAAATTATGAAGACTTGATGTGTTTTGCCTTATAAAAGGCATAAATAGGACTGGAGATTTTTGTAAACAATCTAGTCATCAGCAAGGTTGAATTCTTTGAAATATCAAGTCAAATCTTATGGTATATTAATAGAAAGAAGTTCACTTATAGTTTAAAGATTTTATTTCAATTTACAGTGATTTCCCCCTTAACAGAAGTCTTGCTTTCCGTTGTTTCAATTACCTGAAGCCAACCTGAGTCCAAAAATATTAAATGGAAAATATCAAATTAGTGTGTGTTCCTGAAATAAACAATTCATAAGTTTTAAGTTGTGTGCTATTCTGAGCAGAATGATGAACTCTTGTATCATCACTTGCTATCTAAGCCAGGAGGTGAATCATCCCTTTGTCTATGGTACCCACATTGGATACACCTAGTAGCCTCTTGTTTATCTGATCAAATGCTGAGGTACTGTCGTGTTGATGTTCTAATAACCCTTCTTTTGCTTAATAGTGGTCCCAAAGTACAAAAGTAGTGATCCTGACAATTTTATTAGGATATGTTGCTATATGTTCTATTTAATTATTGTTAGTGTCTTACTGTGTCTAGTTTATAAATTAAACTTTATCATAGGTATGTATAAATAGAAAAAAACATAGCATACATTGCAGCACTGGGGTAATGGAAACCCTGCCCATTGATAAGGGGAGACTACTGTATTCTTTTGAGTGCACCCTGTTGTTGGTTCTTTGGGGGTCTTATTGCTTCCAAAATGAGGTAAAGATAGAAAATAAATGGGAAAATAATCTTTCTTATTTTTCTCTAAGATGAACTGCTTACTGTGGTCAATTCTTATTTATTTGCAGAGCAGAGACGCCTAAAGAAGACAGATGTTCCACTCCTGCAGAGGCTTCTACAAGGACCTTCCAAAAATAATGCCCGCCTTTTCCTCATGGATAAAGATGCAGAAGAAATTAGCAGAGATGTAAGGATAACATCACCTGAATCTGACTTTGAATCTTCCTGCCTGAATTAGCAACTCTCACATAAATTTTTTCTGCTTTCTTTTTTGTTTTTCTCTTTCTCAGGTGGCTCAATACATTAACTTTCATTTTACTTTCTTGGAATCCATTCTTCAAAAGTTAAATGAAGAAGAGAAAAGAGATATTCAAAGAACAATAACAAAGTAAGTCAAGAGTATACACCTGGACACTTGGACCTTCAATTGGTTCAATGCACAAAATGTGTCCAATTTTTAACCCTCTTCTTCTCCTTATTTTCAGGTTCAATACTGAGAAGGCCATTATATTAAAATATCTTCAAAGTAAACAGTTAGTAAGAACAGAGACAACAGTTTAGCAATACATCTCCATTGCTAAAACATTACAACATAGAGTGTTTACTATTTCATGAATACCTTAGATCTGTACTTGCATTCAAATATATAATGACCTTGAATCTGTAGAAAATTGAATGCCGAAAAGGCTTATTTCTCTTAGTGAGGAAGCTAACTAGGGTTCACAGTTGGACTGAAAATGACATTGAACCTAGTCTCAGTAACTGAAATAAACTTGGTTACTGTGTATTCCAAGAATCTTTACAGTAAAGCATGCAATGATCGTGAATTTAAGTGGCCTTTTCCAATACCATGCAGTTTAAACTTCTTGTAGCTTGAACTCTCAAGACAACCAGAACATCACTGATGGACTCAGAAATGTCTGGAAGTAAAAGCTTCCAGTTAATGAAGTAAACTAGAAGCACATTCTTACACCATCAAAGAACTTATGGAGATAGTGTTCCACAGCTTCTTGAACTCTGGCATTTTCATAAAATTTAGAAATATATTTATATGGGTTTATGACTTTTGACTCTGTGACATCAGAGCTATCTGTCCTTCAGAAAGGAAAAAATTTTGGACTCTGTTAAGAAATCTTAATCCCAGTTTTCCCAGTGTGGGCTTTTCTTTTTTCCCTCCTCTCTGTTTACTGATGACTTTCAAAACTATTTTTAAGCTGTTTTAAAAGTAAATTGAGCTCATTTTCTTTATTTTTCAGACAGCTGTATCACAGAGACTTAATGCATGGACTAGTTAAGACAAGTCTTGGCCACACATACCTATTTGTTAGTGAATAATTACAGTGGATAAACCTGAGTGCCATAGCTGAACCAGGCAGGGTGTCAGGACCTCTTCCCTTGGAGCATCCTTGTCATTCTACAAGATGCTCTCCAGGTATTTGCAGGCCTGCTCAACTCATTTGAAAAAAATACTGAGTGACTTCATTTATTAACTCTGTATTAATTTGGTTTTATAGAACAGCCTTCCATTCCCTAAACTGCATTCTCTAAATTGTATTCCTCAGCAGCATTATACTAAATTGTTTGGTTGTATTACCTATACTAAGGAATAAGGATGTATATAATAAACCCAGTTAGAAGATTAATTATTAACATTAAAATGTGAAGCATTTTCAAGATAAAGGTATTAACTTCTCAGTATCACCAAAACCTAAGCACAATGGAAGCAAAAGTAAAGTGTATTCTTTTTGTGCTAGGAAATCTCTCTTACTGAGTAAAAAGAGGCTTGCATATTTATCCTTCACCGATTGATTAATAAGAAAATTATTTCATTTTACTAAACTAAGGCAAATGTAATAATAGTTAAAATTCAGAATACTTATAAAAAACTCTAAGGTAATATCAAGTACCTTCCAGAAGCAAAAAAACAATCTTTAGTATATTGGAAGTCTGAAAAATGGCAAAGAAATGTACCAAGGTTTGCATAGAGGACAAAAAAAGTAACCGGTATGAAAAAAAAAATTACAGAAGAAGAAATGGAAATGACTACTAAGTATATGAAAAAAAGCTCTATGGACAGTAATAGATACACTGTGATTGATGATATTAACCTGCGTGCAATCAGTCGACAGAAACCATTCACTAATTTAAGTGGGAAAAGTGTAGTGCAAAGAATTATTATGCACTAATAAAAAATTTAAAAATTTTAAAACCAAAGAATTATTAAGCTATCATAGAACAGTAACAATGAAGATTTAAAGAGAACTTTAAAGGGTATTCTGAAGCTGAGGAAGAGAATCCTAGAAGTAAAAACCATGGACTGGGGATTTCAGCATTCATGGAGGAAGGTATGGCCTCAGCCTACTGGGTGGCGATTTACTGGGATGTCCAGGCCAAAGCATGACCACATTTGCCAAGCAAACTGGAGAGGGGACAAGCTGATGTGCTCAAAGTGCTGGGGTTTTGTTAAAGGCAGGCACAAAGAAGGACTTGAGGATGTTGCTCCAGATTGAAATGGGAACTGGAGGGGGCTCTTTTCCAGGAACTTGGTATAACTGTGTATCGTGTGGACTAGTGAACCCTTGAGGCTGTGCAAGACAAGGGTCAGGCAACAGGCTAACTAGATGGGTAGCCCCTTCAGTACTCATATCTGTGCGTGTAAGCCAAGATGAGCAGAAGATACACACAACAGCAATTTGAAAAAAGCTAAGGGACAGGCCTGAGCTGTGCTCCAGGTTAGACTACACTGTCCAAATCAAAAGCTAGAGAAGTAGGTGGACAAACCACACTTGACAGGTAACTAGCACTGGGGAATCCAGTCTGGGCAAAGTAGTAGAGGAAAAAAATCCTATCTCTGGGAGCCCAGCCAGCCAGCTCCCAGAAATCAGTGAAGACCCCTTCCTTCTGTGATGTTTCTCCAGCGCCCTCTGCTGGCAGAGCATATTACTCAACCTGTCAAGGAAACTTTAAGGGCCTGTATTCATTTTCATAGAGAAGCAACAAACTGAATTTGGAGCCAATAGACAATAAAGTAATGACTATCATGTCAACACAACGAAAAGCCTATTATAAAAGATTAAAACGTATTAACTATTCAACAAATCACAATAAACCACTCCAACACCTAGTAGAAAAAGAAATGGGCAGTAATTTTTCTTGAAGACAAGTTAGTAGTAAGTTCATCCTATAATTGTATTTTTATGATCATATCATATGAAAATAATAAGAGATACAAAGACATTCTGCAAAGATATTTATTATGTTATTTATTGTGACAAAAGGAAGTAAAAAACCTAAATGTTCAATGAAAAGAAACAGATTAATTTTACTCAGAGGATGTTATATAGTCATTAGAAATATGTTCGCAAGTAAGTTTTAATTATTGGGCTAAATTCTCCTTAAATGTCTAAATAAGAATATATGTATACATATGCAAAATATTTATTATCCATATGATATGTACTAGTGTATGTATACACTAATATTTGCACATATACACAAAAATGTGTTAAATGTGGTTATGTGTGGATTGTGGAATTATGGGTGATTCATGTTTTTCTAATTTCTCCATATTTATTAAATGTCATATAATTAATTAAATAAGGGACTAAAAGTTGTGATTTGGGGGGAGGAGGGAGCAATGGAAATACAATGGAGGGGTGAACTTGTTCAAGGTAGACTGTACACATTTAGGGAATTATCACAATGAAATCCCCTCATATTATTAATGTATGCTAATTTAAAAATAAGATTAAAAAAGAAAAGTTGTAATTTGAAAGTTGTCAACAAAAAGTAGCAAGTAGATGCACAAAAATTTTCAAACTAATTATTCAAAGGTACATTAACATAGTTCTGTGAGAGTTTTAATGTATACCCATAAAGTCTTTGATTCTTTTCCTTTCAAAAGATGGAGCTTATTCGTCCTCACCTGAAAATGGACTGGACTTGATGATTTCTTTTTATTCTATTTTTATTGAAAAACAGTAATATGTTTGGAGGATTCCTTGTGATATTGTATGTATGCATTGTGGAATAATTAAATCAAGCTAATTAATAGATCTATCACCTCATGTCCTATTTATGATTAGAATATTTAAAACAATTCTTTTAGCAATTAGTGACTTTTAACAAATAGAGGAGAGCAAAAGGGAACATGCAACTTTGGAAATTAGGTTATAGATGTTTACAGTGGTTTCCTCCTTGCTTGCTGTCTCTTAAATCACTTTACTCAGGGGAAGCCAACTGCCATGGCCTGAGAATCCCTGGTGAAAGGCCTTGCAATGAGGCACTGAGAGCTTCTACCTAATACAAGCAGGCACTTGGGGAATCCCATCAACAGATGCATGAGTGGGCCATCTTGGAAGTGGATTTTCTAGCTTCATTCAAGCCTTCGGATGATTGGAGCCTTAATTCTTTTTTTAAAAAACTGTTCTTTTTGCTTGGGGCTTGTGTGTGTGTGTGTGTGTGTGTGTGTGTGTGTGTGTGTGTGTGTGTGGTACTGGGGTTTGAACTCAGGACCTGCTAGGCAGATGCTCTACCACTTGAACCACGCCACCAGCCCCCTGTCTAATTCTTGACCAAAGCTTTGTGAGAAACCCTGAGCCAGAAAATCCAGTACAGCCTCTCCTGGATTCCTGATCCTCAGAAACTGCAAGAGAAGAAACATTTGCTGTGTTATGCTGCTAAATTTTAGGGTAACTTGTTACACAGCATTAGATAACTAATATAATTTCTGGAGCAAGAAATCTGTCTGTTTTAGTTATTTTTGCATAATATGAGACCATAAACTTTTGTCATAAAACATGTTTTCCTTGTTTTAGGTGGTCCAAATATTTCATTACCAGTCATATATTGATTAAAATTAAACTCTAGATGATATATTGTGCTTACTAATGGTAGAGAACCCATTACTCTCATGTCTGTGTACCTTTTGGACATTATATTATGTTGTGTACAGAATGTGCTCAATAAAAGTCAGTTGGATAAAGGAATTATAGTGGGTAAGTTCTCTGAAATATTTTTATAAAATCTCTGTATATGTGCCTCATTTTTCACAAGTCTGATTCAGTAGCTAAAGAAATATAGAAACAGCTGTATGGTTTTCCTTAGCATGAAACTATATTTTAGTATCTCATTACTCTATGAAATACTCATAGACAGTGTTATATATTAATTGAAACTCTAGACTGTGGGATCTGCTTTGGGGCTGTTCACACTGGTTTCACGAACTGAAGAAGAGTCATGAAAGTGGCAGTTGACAAAGTGGAAAAGATAGCAGGTGTAACTATTAGGTTATGGTATATATATGGGAAATAAATGAGGAATGGGGACAGCAAAATCCTTTAATGGCACCCATTTGTACCCTAAATTAATAGTATTTAATATCAGTTAGATTGAGCCACTAGAAATTAGCAATATTTGATCTACAAAACCTGCAATTTTGTGTGGTTCTAATATCATTCACCATTTGATACACACTAAGTACTTTACATATATAATTCATTTAATGCTCATTATAATCCCACAAAGAAATTCTCTTTTTGATGTTGCTGGGATTTGAACTCAGGACCTCATGGTGGCTTAACAGGTGTTCTCACTGATTGAGCCACTCCACCAGCCCAGAAATTATTCTTTCAGCTTCATTTTATAGGTGAAGAAAATAAGCCGTGAAAAGGTTAGGAGATTTGCTAAAGTCTTAAACTGAAGAAATAGGTCAGATTTGAATGTATGGTTCTAGAATCCATGCTCTTAACAGCCATCCATGATGGGGATGTTATGAACATGATTTCTGGGGGATTGGTTCCAGGACCGTATTCACACATCAAAATCTGTGGCTGCTCAAATTCCTTATATAAAATGAAGGAAGGAGTATTTGCATATAATCTAATCTTCCATGCACTTTAAATCATCTCTAGGTTACCTATAATAACTAATACAATGTACATGCTATGTAAATGGTTGTTATACTATATTATTTAGGGAATAATGACATGGACATGTCATTATAGGAATAATGACATGTTTACTACAATCATAATTTTTCCTCAAATATTTTTGTTCTGTGGTTGGTTGTATGCATAAATGTGAAACCACAGACAAGGAGGTCAAACCATATCTACTTCATTAGATGGTTGTGAGAATTCCATAAATAACACATGTAACAGCTGGCACTTTGCACACAAGAGGTTGGTGTGACAAATAGTATCTGTTAAATTAAAACATATGCCCCCACCAACTATTGCAGCCTTCCACTAAGTCTTGCTGGCCACAACTACTCATCCTTACCTTAAAACCAGCCATATGGATCACGCCCATTTCCTAAAGCACCCTCAGCACTTCTCTGTCTGGTGAAGTCATTCCTACTTTCTAGTCAAGGGCAGAAGTCACTTTGCCAATGACCATTCCTGGTCTCTGTGACAATGTGTCATCTCAAATCCCTGTGTACCACAATCTCAGCTCTGCTCTTGTGACACCAGAAATTTGAAATTTGCCTTTTATTATAGTTTGTTATGTTCTTATACCTTCTATAAATTGATTTGCAGTATCAAGCACAGCTTATTGAATGCATGACGCCAGCAAATATTTGTTGGATTTCATTTACTAATGTGTATGAGCATGTTGAAATCACTAGAGCAAGAAAAAAACCAATTATTTAAAGTCAAGTAAAGAGCATTATAATGAGAATTAAAAATTTTGTATTTCTCCAATCAAAATATTTTACTTATTTAGTAAGTACTAAAATATTACTGTCTTTTTATTGCCCAAAAGAATCTAGAAAAATTAAAAATAAGTCCAAATTTTAAGTTCTTTATGTCACTTATGGCAGAATTTCTAAGGAAAAACCTCCTGATCATTTAATCCTCAAATTAATAATAATAGATAAATTATGAGCCCTCAGTGCCATCAACAGCATGTATATAAGGGAAAGAATGGAGGCCAAGCAGTTATGAATAACTTTATTATAAAGCATATCTAATTCAGCTCATCAATAATCATTTTCAGTAGTGGTACAGGCAGAGTTCCAATCGTCCTTGGGGTCTCTTTCCCTGTGGAAGCCCAACAGCCAGTTCTGAGCAAGATGAGGCAGCCGATACCTCTACCTTGGGCTTTTGAAAGCCCTAATGCACTTGAAAAGTGAGAGCTTATGGAGAGAAGGGGAATGCGTGCAGGTTGTCTGAGAGTCAATAAGTAGCTGGCTTAGTAGGAAAGGAGAGACTTAGTGTAGACTGTCTGGACAATGTTCTTGCATAACACTGTGAGCAGCTAAAAAATTATTTTACAGAGTTTCATTTTCAATATTAGATGTGTGTTTCATTATTCATGAAAAATAAATGCTGATCCCAGCAAAGATCTTACACCAGTGCTTTCTGGGATCATTTAGTCTTCTAAGAGAGACTGACACTTCTTCATCAGTTTGGACCCCTAGGGAAAAAAAACAAATATGCTTACCAGAGAGAGAGAATAATCTTAACAATTATGATCCCCAAATAGAAAAATTTTCATGACTTCTGTGTTGTGTGTTTGAGATAGGCTCTGCTAATCCATTTCCTCAAGGTGTTAGGCTTTCCCACTGGCCTAGTACCTTAGCTTAAAGACTCAACTAAGTCTAAGTCCTCTCCCATTTTTAGAACCCCAGATTTGGAATAAATATTTGCTTCCTCCTCACGAAAATGTTGGACTCTCTCACTGCATAATAAAAACAGATAAGCAGCATCTCATTTAATTTTGAAACTAGTCTACACTGATCCCCACCACTGCAGTCTAAAATACCGGGACTCGAGAACAGGCTGCCAGCACTGAATCAGAGAAACTATCCTGATGCACAAACTCCCATAGCCAAGTCCCTCAGTATTACCCAGTGTTCACCTGTATGGTTTTGTTCAAATAAAAATCATTTGTGGAAGCCCAGATAGGTAGATAAATGCAAACTTGTCTTTAGTTAAAATGGAAATAAGACCCTAGAATACTACTGCTATGGCATGTACACACACACACACCCCACTTGAGGGACAGCTGACTGACATTCCTAAGAGCCTCTGGGATTCTGTGAAAAATGGTTAGAAGTCTATTAATTGAGTCTTTCCTCCCACTCAGACAGTCCCACAGTAAATCATTCAGGCAGATTAGAATCTAGTTAGGCTTGTTTTTTTAAATGCCTCTGGAGTTTAAGATATCTTTGCTTCTTTGGTTTTCTTTACTTTTCATGGGAAATTTTCCCATAAGCTTAATCCAAGACCCTCAAATTTAACCTCGTTCATTTATCTCCAAACCTAATAGCAATGGCAGTCTTCCATATCACTCTTTTCTGGCCTCATTTATTGTATAATTCCTAGGTAAATTTCTAATTGATATGGTAACAAATACTGAAAAGATGTTTCTAGCTAAGGTAAGGTAGGGAAAAGAATTCTAGGAAACATATTTTTCTTTTCTGCAATGGTGGAGCTTGAACTCAGAACCTCGTGCATGCTCTTTAAAACTGAGCTACACTTTTAACAAACCTTTTAACAATGAAGAAGGCCCTAAATGAAACGAGAACAGTGATAATAACTGCACAGCTGGAGATAGGGCCCACACAAGACATTTTTATATAAAACAGGGACTCATATGATGGGATGTGGAAAGCAACAAAGAAGGAACAAAGATACTCCTGACACTGAGCCCAAATTTTCCCCTCTTTGACTTTGTAATGTTGGTCCTGCTGGGAGACTGGTAACATGTCACCCAGCCTAGGATTTTGGAAAACATTACCAGTTTACCCTTCTGAATCCCTGGAAACACTGTTTTTAAACCTCTCTCCATTCTGTATACTCTCCAAGCATGACAATTTACTGATATCTTTTTAAAATGTGTTTCTCATCTCTTCTGAAATAAGTGGAATACCAGTAAAAAGTACAGAGAATAAAATCTTAACAGTGCTTTAGTTTTTTAAGCATTGTTTTTGGCTGCTGCCAAACCCAGGTTTCAAACTTCTCACAGATTCTTGAATCCACAATAGTCTTTCAATAAATTCATCTTGACTTAGCCAGAATTTAATCCTATTATTTACAAGTAAAGAACTCTTACTTACATATCAACAGAAGACTATGTGAATATATGGACAAAATAATCTTTAAAAATATAAAGACTGAAAAAGTTATCTGTTCTAAAGAAATATGTGCATACATTCATAAGACAAGCATAAAAAGAAAATGTAGCCAAAAAAACTAAAAATTTCAAGGGAAAACACAGCATAGGATAATAGAAATAGTCTAATTTACCCAGGATTATAATGAAAAGAAACCCCACAAGGACAGCCACTAGTCAGTCTAAAAATCACTCAATCCAAGCTGAAAAATGAAGCCAAATGACTTTTCAAAATATTGCTTTAAGATGCTAGAATTGGGCTGGATTTGGTGGCACATGCTGGTAATCTCAGCAATGCAGGAGGCACAGGTAGGAGGACCATAGTAAGGCTCACCCACACAAAGGTCCCAGACCTTACAAAAAGCAGCCTGTCAGACCTGCTAGGCAGGAAGCATAAGCAGGAAGATCACAGTAAGGCCAGTCTGGTCATGTAAGCAAGACAAAGAGAGAGAGATGAAGAGAGAATAGCGGGGGAATACCTCAAGTGGTAGAGCACCTGCACAGCAAATACAAGACCTGCAGTTC